GCCAAAACACGGGCCCTAGGGGCGTCAAAACTCATTGGCCGTCCTGAGTAGCCTTAGTGGATCACAAGAAAACTAGTCAGTGCCTCTCAAATCACAGACCTTAGTCAGCAACACTGTAAATCAAACAAATTAACAAAAATTTGCGCAATCCAATCTAAGCTCCAGACGCTTCGCGCCTAAGTGAGGGCAAGGGAGGGTAACACAAGAAGAGTAGGTCACACCAAACCCAACGCAACACGAAACAACAAGAAACCAACCAACAAGAGCAAAACCAAACGAACCGGCCAGAAACCACGCAACCAGAAGGGGGGTGCCGGGATGGCAGAGGAGGACAGGGGCAGAGAAGGCCGCACATATCACATTAGAATAGCAATAGGGCAGCTTAGCGGAGACCAATGGGGGGACCTGGATCATCATCCTGATGAACACCTCAGTGTGGTCAAACTGGGCATCCTGACAACACCTGCCACATGGTGGAGAGGGTGGTAACAACCCCACACAGGGCTTAAGAGCCTTTGCTGCCATGAGACAAAATGAAGGAAGGACGACAGAGCACAACCACACTCCTAGCACAACGGCAGGGCAACTGAGCCGTCACAGCTGCAACCAGATACCCAGAGGGAGGTACCAGCGTGAAACTGGACCAGGGCGCCACACGGGACCAACCGAGGGGGAAGGGGAGGTAACAACAGACAGGGAGGGGAGCCAACAAGAGCCAAACACCAAGCCAGAAAAAGCGGGACCCTCCCACACCCACGAAGGAGCACAACAGAAACAGCAGAAAACAAGAGACACACAGACGGAAACAACAGACAGAAAACCCAAGAACCCAAAAGGGCGAAGCCCCAAAGGGAACGCAAAAACACAAAAGGGACAGAGGGCGGCAGAAACAACATCAAATGAATTGGACCGCGTAAGAAAAGGGCATGCAGGACGCGGAGGAGCCATAAGAAAGATCCCAACCGGAGCAAAAGGGCCCCACCCGACAAAGCCAGGGGGGCAAAAGAGAAACAGGCAAAAGGCGCAGAGAGCAAAAATGAAAGCGAGCGACCCAGAAAAGCGGGGGGGAGGAGGGAAAGGAAAATCGCTATGTCTGGCTACGTGTGGTGTATTCGAGGTGGTGTTGTTTGTCTGCTCGGAGAGTGTCATTCCAGCTGTTCCCAATCGCAAAGGAGACAGGGTTCGCCCTTTCTGCCCCTGCGGCAAGGAGCCGTAACTCATTGCATTTCGTCTGAAAAGCAACCAGGTCGGTGTCTGGCGCTCTCCTGCGTAGTTTCCTATCAGGGAAGACTCGCTCTTGCACGTGTTGCCTCAGAGTCGTTTCTGGTAAGTAGTGCGCGGGTCGTTGGAAGAGCACTCTGCTCGCTAACTTCCCGCGGTTGACTTCCCAATGGGTGAACATATGGCGATGTTGTATTTGCTGCTTAAGTTGTGCAGCATACTGGTGGAAACTTTTGGTCGTGTGCCACAACCTCAGAAGGCTATAGTTGGACGGCCACTCAAGTGGACACAGAGTGGCTGTCTGCTTCCACATGGCAGGAGTAAGTCCTTTTGGGGATGGTACAATTACTTCCAGGTTAACTCTTGTGGGTCCAGTGGGTTGCAGGCCCATCATGATGTAGGGTTCTACTACACCCATTGTGTACCCTCGTATGAATTCCGCAAAGCAATCGGCTGCTTGGAATTCCTCGTCCAACGCCAGATTCAATCCAGGAGCATTTTTGTCAGTGAACTTAACCGCCTGCAGTACTTGGTCAACCGCCTCTCTCTGTAACCCCTCAAAAACCCGATGGGGGCAAGAAAAGGACACCTCCTGTGGGGCCTGGATGGCACCTCCTTCTTCACTGAGAAAGCACGGTGCAATCTTGCTGGCCCAGCTAGCCGGAAACCACGCCAGTAAGGCTGAAACCCCGCTGACCAGGTCGACACGGGTGTGTCGCCGAGAATGGGGCTGGTTTGTGACTACAACTTTCACAGGGCCACTGGGGGCACGTGCTCGGTTCACATCTGCACTCTCTTTGGCTGCTCCAATTAGCTCAGAGAGAATTGGACGGAACCAAAACGTGGCATAAAGCAGGCATTCTGTCTCTGGGGTAGCCAGAAATTCTGCTCGTCGAGTGAGCGAGCAAATGTACTGCGCAAGTGTTTCAGCCAGCCGGAGCGTAAAGCTACGGGCTGCATGTGCAAATACCTCCTCAACCGTATCAATGGCATCCCTCAGCCACAGTTCAGACGCAATTGACATGAAAAGGCGGGCAAACTTTTCCTGCATGGACGTCAAGGAGATAGTAAGCTTGGCCTGCAGCCACAGGTGTGGAAGGGCACCTAGGTTTTCGGGCTGGAAAAAGACGTTGGCTTGAGGCTGAGAACTGTTCATCATGGTGTCCAGCTTGTCAGCTGCACCTTTGATTTCCATTTCCGTAGGATCATCCAGTGCAGGTGGGATCGGCGGGCACCATGGTTCTTCAGGAGGTAGATCCGCCTCGTCTACTTCCTCCTCAACCTGCTAAATTTCGTGGGTCCTGGGGTTTAAGGGCTGAGAATTTTTAAAAAAGAATTTAAGGTTTTTTTAGGGATTTAAGGTTTTGAAAAAATGCTACCCAACTTGGAAGCTACCTCAGTATTTGGTAAACACACCCTGTTTTGAAGCCAAAACCTGAAAAAATGCCACAAAAACAACAAAAACAGGCTCAAAATCATGAAAAACATAGTTTTACCGATCAAAAACCATGAGATTTGATCTGAAAAATGTGGCATAGACTGCATGGGGCCAAAGCAGCATCCTGTTTTTATCTTGGTTTTATCCCAGATTCTAAAAAAACACAATATATAGGCTTATATAGGCCAAAAAATGATTTTTTGTACTGTTTAAAGCATAGAAAAAAGGTTCCCAACTTAGAACCTACCTTAGTATTTGGTAAACACACCCTGTTTTGAAGCTAAAACATGAAACAATTCCACAAAAAAATGCAAAAACATGCTAAGAACCATGAAACACGGAGTTTTAGTGAACAAAAACATGAGGTTTGATATCTGAAAAATGTTGCACAGTCTGCAGGGGGCCACATCAGCATCCTGTTTTTATCTTGGTTTTAAAGTTTTTATCTCAGTTTATAAAAAAACATGACTCAATTAAACACTGAACAAGTGTTGGTTTTGGTTTGTTTCAAATTGGGCAGCTCGCATTCTATGCCTAAGCCGCTTAGCCTAAGCTCACGCCCACGCTTCAGAAACTCAGGTTGACCAGTTTGACCTTGCATATCTATAGCCTACATAGCCTACAGCCTACACCATGACTCCCCGCCGGCCCCGCCATCATGAAACACAAAAACACGAAAACATTGGGTCTCGGTATCCGTTTCCGTCCTTAAACCCAGCCAACACACATATGTATATGTATAATATACATATACATATACATAAAGGGAAGAAGCACAGGGCAACAAATGCAACAAACCAATTCTTAGTAGTTGCAAGTTGCAACGCATGAAATTCACAATGTTTGCAGCAGCTTGCGGAAAGGTCGTTCGCTCCAAGCTCTGGTTGAAATTCTCAGAAAAAGTAATAAAAGTTTCCACGCTCGCTCCAAGCTTTGGTGAAACGTCAACATTTGAAGGCTGGTTGGCAAGATCACCTGCCAAGCCGTGCCTACATTCAAAAACCAAAACGACGACAATGTTGGAAAAGTTGGAAGGCCAATTGGACATGTCACTTGCCTCAAACCCCACTAACCGTCAATCTTGGAAGACCACTTGGCAGTGTCACTCTCTCCAAGCTTTGGTTGAAGCAAACACCAAACATCAAAAATTGAAACTTGAAAACCAAAAGACCATTTTTGCAGACTGCTTGGAGTGTCACTTGCTCGAAGCTCTAATGGAAATTCTGAAACAGCCAATGTCTGAAGACCACTTGGCAGTGTCACTCGCTCCAAGCCAAGCTTTGGTGTAAAGTAAACACTCCGAAAGTCACTGTTTGAAGAATGGTTGGCAAGCACTCGCCCCAAGCTCTGGTTGACATGACTACCAAAAGCCAAAGTTTGAACGCTGCGAATCTACAGCCACTCAGCCGCACTCAGTGCCAAATCGTCAGCCTGCCAAGTTTCAACGTATTGCAAAATAGCAAGATGCTTTGCAGCTTTCCCATGTGAAATCATTGCAAAGGCATGCCAAGACAATCTTTCAGCAGGAATGCGGTCCAAGCTCCAAACAAACCAATGGATACCCATGAAAACAAAAGTTGAGACATTGAGAAAGGTCACAGTTACAGTTCATTGGAAAATTTGCCGTTCACCACACCAGCGCCCAGAGGCCCAGGCTGCCACCAGGCCGCCAGTTATTTGTTTTGCGCATCCCCTGGCATTGCAATTGCATCCAAGTCAAGACAAAGTCGCTGCTCGAGTCGAGTTTGAAAATTACCGCACATTGGGCTGCGGTTTCACTCCGTAGGTGCGAACGAAGGCCATGGACAAACAGCTTCTTCGCCATCTCGCCAGCGCTGCTGTTGGTGGAGAGAAGCACTGCAAGCGAAAGCGCACCAAAAGGATCCGATCACTGCAGCATGCATGGCCTCAGGGTCACAGGATTCAGAAGTTCTCTGAAAGAACAATGACATGGTCAACCGTCAACCCCTCTCTCTCTCTCTCTCTCGCTTTCTCTTTCTGTCTGTTTCCCCTTCTTTTCACTCTTTTTCCCTGTCCTTCCCTTCTCTCTCTCCCTCCTTCTCTCTCTCTCTCACACACACTCACAAGTTGTAAGCAACACATACGTAAAAATAAAGGAACACACCCAAAAAAAGTACACATATCAAATTAAAGGACCGACAGACAAAGCAGGAAAGACAAAGGAGATGGTGATGGTGAAGGATCGATGAATAAAAGAATTGTGTGTGAGAAAGTTGTGTGTGAAAGAATTGTGCACGATAAAGGAGATCATGACTCATGACTCATGACACCGAAAATCACGATGACTCATTCTGACTCATGAGGTATTTGAGCAAGGCACGTTTCCGGCCAGGCTTCGCTTTGCTCCTGCTGCCAGCTGAACTCCGATGTGGGGGTGACGGTCATGGGTTCCACAGAGAGCAGCATATTGTGGGATCCCCATGATGATGAGGTGCTCATCGGGGAGAAGCCACCTTTCTTCCACTGCATCATTCTCTGGTGGACCTGGACATAGCACCCAGAGTTTTCCACCTCGAAGCAGCGCCGGCGCCCAGATGCCGCACACAGGAATCTTGTATGGATTCTGACAGAGGTTGCACATGGCTGACTCCTCCTTGGCCTTCCATCCAGCTTGCAGCTTCTGTATGCCCCCAGCCATGTAGCTTGGCTTCCTGCCAGGCCGCTGCAGCTGCAGCTGCATCAGTGATTTTCAGGAGGAAAGGGGAGGACAGTCAGACAGATGACAGATGGCAGAGGAGAGTCAGGAGAAGACTTGGATTTGGACAGCGGATGCCTAAAAGAAAGAGGATCCTCTTTGTGCAACTTGCAAGTTGTCCAGGATCAAATCAACTCTCTAGCGTTTAAACTATTTGAACACGGCGCCCATGTCCCCATATTCTGTCCTTGAAGGAGCTTGCTGAAGGGCGTCGTCGGAGGTAGGCAAAGCCTTTTGCAAGAGCGAAGCCGCTCTTCCTCCACAGACTCCTGCCCAAACAAACGGTTGCATTAGGATTAGGGCCATGGGCCACAAGCACCAAGTCATTGGCAA